GCCGGCCAGCGCGTGGCCACGCGCGCGCGTGCGCTCACCGAGCGCCAGGACGTCGAGGCCGCTCGACATGGTGATCACGTCCAGCCAGGAAAAATAGCCCGAGAACACGCTGTGCACGGTTTTAAAGCGTTAGAAACAACTACACAGTTGATTCAATCCTCAAACCACCTTCACTACTCTAAAGAGGGCACCTTAGGCTATCAACAAGAGCTAAAGAACGACACCACTCCTAAACTCAATTTTTACAGAATAAATTACCAAACATAGCTTTGTCAATCTGTTTTTTGACTTAAGAAATTGACCAAGTCTTGAGTTGGATTTGCTTTAAATTCGATTTCCAAGCTATTAGAAATGTTAGCTAGCGTTATTATCTTGTTAAAACAAAAGTTGCACTATCTTCTACAAAATGTGTACTTCAAACTTTATTAAGGTGTCACATATATGTTTTATAGCGTTTTTGTTCAATAAAAATTAGTTAACATCTCTACTTGCTAACTTTATAAATCATGAATTAACTTTTCGTTTTATGTTTTTTACGACTCGTTTAAGTTACTATGCTTTACCTATCCATCACACCACATGCAATATCACTTAAGTATGATGCTCATGACATATTTTAGCAAGTGATTCACTGTGTAACACCGAGGGGTTACACGTCGCCCGGAGTGCATCTTGAAGGCCGTGACGAAGAGGTTGACTTGATGAAGCTCACTGGTGATGCCGACATGTAGTTTGTAGGTGATGAAGTTGTCGATGTAGTCATTCACGGTGCCGGTGTGCCGAGGTGGAGTGAGGTCACCAATGGTGTCGTGGCAGATTGGTGGGCCGAAGTCGAGAAGGAGGCTCCGGGAGAAGAGTGCCCACTTGGTCATAGGTGCATCCTTTGTTGTCCAAATGAACCATCGATGCGCTGCTCTTGTCAGATGAAAAGCTGCATACAAAATTTGTTGAGCCTCCGACAGACTGTACAAGTTGGAGAGTTGTTGCATCTGGGAGAGCCACGTCTGTGGATCCGTTGAGCCATCGTACGTGGGTGTTGTCAGCCAGGCCTTGATGGGTTGCTGGAGTTGAGGTGGCGCCGTCGTTGCCGATGAGATCGGCTCATGTGATGGTGTAGCTGGGGGTGTCTGCTGCACTAGTGGCCAGATGGCTGGCTGCTGTGACGGTGGTTGCGTTCTCGGGGCAGTCACCTGCTGTGCCGGTGGCCAGATGGCCGGCTGAGGAGCCTGGCAGTCGGCCGGGGTCGGTGGGGTAGCCGCACGGTCGACGGTGGTTGGTTTAGTGGTGGGGAGCGTTGCTATAGCTAGGGTTGCGGTGCTGGTGGTGCCTTAAGCAGGCTGTCCAACACCTCCAGTATGATCTCCGGAGCATTGGAAGACTAGGGTTCATCCATCTTGGGCTTGAGGTAGGATTTGCCGGCGTCGATCATGACCCTCTTGGTCTCTGCTTCTAGATTGTTGATGGCGGCTTCTCGGTCCAATCTGGATTGGACGCCAGGGTGATGGTGGCGTCACCATGAATTTGTGCCATCTCAATGGCATGCTGACGTGTGTCGAGGTTGGTGAGTTGGCGCTGCACGTCCTCAAAGTTTTTGAGGAGATCGTTGGTGAAGTTCTGGATCAACTGTTGCATATCGATGGTGATGGAATCTATGGATCGGCTGGTCTCCGGATACCAGGTGTAGTACGCCTATCCGGAGACCAGTCCGATCCCACACCGCTGCCATGGGTGCCAACGAAAACAATGGTGACTTCAAGGCTGCGTTCGACAAACTTGTCGCTGATCTCCACCAGTAGTTCGACAGGATCAAGGAAAGGTTTGGCAACATCGACGACCGCTTAACGAACATCGAGCAATGTGGCCAATCTGACGAGGCTGCCGCTGCCCGCCGCTTGCGCCCAACACGAGCGTGAGGCCGCTGTCACCAAATCAGAGGCTGGCGCTAAGAAAGCCATGGAGGAAGCTGGCCGGGTGTAACTCGCCTGTTGGGAGGGGGTGGCGGCTATGGAGGTGAACGGCGGCGGCTAGGGTTGGCGGTGTGGGGGAGGGGACGGCGCAGGGAGGAGAGGAGGCGGCGGCGGCAATAGAGATAGAGGAAGGAGCGATAACTCTATTCTTGCTTGATTAGATTGATTACATCCTTCCTATATTTATAGTCCCTATAGGATTTGTGTTCCAAGCAACTAGGAGAGATATCCTTATAGATTGGATTCTCCTTTCCTAAACAAACTAAACTCTAATCTCCTAATTTACTTCCTATTCCTAGATGTGGAGGCACTTCTGGGGAAGAGAGAGATGGAGGCCCCCCCCCAAGGGCTGGCTGGGCCATTGGCCCCGGGTAACCTCTCATCCGACGTGTTACACAAACAGTTACAGATGTTCTGAGATTTGGTTGTAGAAAAAGAATCTTCGCCTATTACTATTCAAACTCCATCCTCCGGATAGTAGAATCACTAAATAAATATACCAGGTGTGACAAATATTCTACTACCGGTAGAATTCCATGCAGCCTGTTATTATCAGCTGACTTTTTTGCTCCGAATCAAAGGTACGCAGTTCTTGAGTCAGTCTTGCCACTACGTAGTATATTAACCTTTAAAACCTTTCTGTCCAACCAACATACAACAAACAAGCTAAAAGGAACTCTCAAAATTCAGAACACAGACGGCAACAAGTGTCGACTTTTTGTACCTCATATATAATTCCTGGAAGATGTCAGCCTGTGCGACAGTACTCTTAACATTGTCAAAGATGAACATTGACAAGTGCTATTGAATGAACTTGGACTCTTGGTAATGGTTCAAAACATTCAGTTATACATCATGCTTGCTGCCTCTAACCAGAATTCTAGAATCTTAGTATTAGGTCAGCAGAAACAAATGCTACAGACAACACCAACAGCATAGGTACCATCCGAACTTAAATCATGTACAGGAAATGTATCTTCGCCACAGTTTGATATTATGAAAGTCAAGCAGCCATAGTTTATTGAACCATCACATTGGCAGTACAGAGGAAGGTTCAGAGAAGGATTGTTCCTTTCAAGTTGCCCTGTACCTTTCAGTCTCCAGTTCTTTCAACGACAGAAACCAAGCGAACATCACATTACTCTATTGACTGTTTTCAGGTCTGCTTTAGCTCAGTTCTGAATATGATTGGTATAGCATTGTGCGTGCATGAATGTTGCGTCCTTATTTCTCACAAGACGTCAAGACTGCGCAGCCATCCCAAGTACAGTAGCTGGAAGAAATGCAGTCCAGGAGGAAGGCCCACTATGTTGGATTTTTTTCCTGCTGGTCCAGGGACAAGATGGTTGCTAGTACCTGGGAATTGGGATCTGCAATTGCAGCTGACCTTAAAATAGTTCAACCTTTGACTGGAATTGGCAAGAGTTGAATGCTTGCACCATAGGAGATAGGACTTTGTGCTGTCAATTTTGGACTTCCAGGAGAAGATGATTAAAGTTAAAGCCTTGTTCCATTTTTCTGAGGCTGGTAGGCTTCTTTGATGTGGTGAAACTGCGAATAACAAACTGAAGTAGGTCTAACTCACTGTATGGATTGACTGTTTCAACTGAGGTAAATTGCAGTAATTTGGTCTTAAGATTATGCTATATGGAAGGTCTGTTTCTTAGGATGATGCAAGGTCAATATAAGTGTGTCAAACATGTCATGAATTGGTCCTGGGATGGGCTACGCTATATGAAACTGACATCAACTATTGAAAATGATATCAACTATTGCTGTTGCTTCATGTAATGATTTGTGCAAATTCATACTAAAAGGATTTAGCAAAGAATTTAATCAACACACTCGATATCACTCTATATCTTAGATAAATAGCGCTATTAAAACAATCTGACACCAAGATGGAATACGTCTGGTACTCTAGTGATAACAACTATAGACACTGACAATTGTCATGTGTGGAGCCAAGATGAAAAGATTCAGTGACTTCACCCAAAATACCCTGATGGAACTTTCTTTATCATTCTACAAGATATTTGTTCCAAAAGGTATATCATTGCAAGATTCACCTGCTATAATTTCAATTAGACAAAAAAAAGTTTATGAAAGAATTTCTTGCCCCTGTTTAGCTTTGACAGTCCTGGTTGCTGACTTCCTGCGGTGTTTCAAGGTTCTTTCAAAATTTCAGAGTAAATTTATTACTGAAGATAATTAATACAAGCTCTTCGACAACTTAAGTCTAACGGAAGCTTCGACACCAGAACAAATGAACAGCGCCTGCAATGATTCCAAGTTGAATTGGAAGCTCAGTAGTCATCTAGGGATCTTATGTTCCTCCAGGACCGACCTAATGGTCACACACTCGCACTATTCTATTATGGAAGAATGACTGACCTTTAACAAACATAACCATTATCCAGAATCTAGAGCAGTTGACACAGTATTCTATGAAATGTCATTCATAATTTTTCTCCTAGGTGCCTAGACACGTGCCTACATGTCACGAATTGAATAGTTATAACCAATTAATCATGATCTGCCATCACTGATGACAGCATTGATGCAGAACAGTAAGTCAGAAACTCCAACATTATCATCTTAGAAGGAGCAAATCCAATTGCGACAACTATGCATCAGAGAGGTTCAAGAAACAAAGGTGCAAGACATCTAGACAAGAATTGGAGGGGTTCAATTGCGACAACTATGCATCAGAGAGGTTCAAGAAACAAAGGTGTAAGACATCTAGACAAGAATTGGAGGGGTAAGAAACAAAGGTGTAAGACATCTAGAGTTCTAGACAAGAATTGGAGGCTCTGAGATATACACATGGTTACCCTTTCCAATCAGGTCAAACAATAACTTATGATCCAAACAATTAGTTGCTTCAATTCTGTATCTGTATCCTTGTTCAGATATATGGTACAAGTAGCACGTCATTGTTAAGAAAGGTGAAATGTGCAACTGTCATTCCCTCGAAAAAGCTACAGCCTCATCCATGTCACAACAAAATAAGCATCATTTCATTCGTGTCAACTAAAAGATCGAAGACCCGGACTTCCCTTTTCCCATTAGAATGTCCTTTGCCCCATTGATCTTTGAAGCGACGTAATGGCTGCCACCAGCATCAGGGTGGTTAGCTACCATGACCCTCTTGTGAGCCTCCTTGATCTTATCCACTGTAGCACGTTCTCTGAAACAACCAGGAAAGATTATACAGAATTAGCGACAACAATAACAAGCTGCAGTACTTCTCTCCCTTTTTCTCCACAGGAATTACTAAAAATTGACTCAGTTTACAAACACAGGCATTATAAAGAAAAAAAAATAATCACCTTACGCCAAGGATTAATGCAGCCTCCCTTCGATTCATCTCCCCCTGAAATCCACCAGGGTAGAACCGGCGCACTCGTGGCATTGCTGCCCGGGTCCGGAAGACTTGCCATGCTCTAATCATGGATCTTCCACCCAATGCAGCAGCAGCCACTGACAAACCAGCAATCAGGGGAGTAGCCTGTTGGTACAAGATAATGTCCCAGCAAAAGGTCAGATGACAATCATAAAGTTATCAGAGTTCAATGACGGTTCACAAAGGCATGCAGTGTCAGAGACTCCTGCGAAGAAATTAATAAAGTAATTAAGTAAATGATCAAGCCCCTAACACTTTGAACTGCAATTGTTCAGCTCTGCTTCCCAGAGTCTCAGTCTGACAGGGAAACAAGAGGCACGCTGCTACTGATATTACAACTTTCAGAGTTCAGACACTAGGAACAATATCTCAATGCATTTGAGCAATTGTGTGCGTGAATTATTCCCGCTCCAGGCTATAAGCGTCATTGGAGCCAAACAGCAAGTAAAATCTCATGCTTGTTATGGTCTCCACGGAGGCAATTAACTCTATCCAACCACACAGAACCCAATTTATCATGGCTATCCTGAGTTAGGACCAGACTACAATCTGGGGAGGGGACCAAGCAGAGAGATACGGATCATGGATCATCCACCGGAAGAGCAAGCGCAATCCAACACGCCGGCTTCCTACCTCGGATCGGGTTGCGCTATTCCGATTCCGACCGCCGACACGTGCCGCGCTGGTAGAAGTACTAGAACAGAGCAGCCCGCAAAATCGGAAGCGTATAGGAAGGAGAACGGCGCAGGACAGGAGAGCTAGCACGTACCATGTCGAACTCGACGGGTTGAGCAGCGGGTCGGCCGGCGTCCAGTTCCAACTCGCGAAGCATCGATTGACTATTCGATGCCGCCGGGAGGGATGCCGGGGGCAGGCAGGCCAAAACCGCAGGACAGGGGCAGCAGGAGCGTGGACGGCGGCCGAGGTAGATAAAAGCGGCGCGCGTTCTTGCGCGACAAGAAAGAGGAGTGGAGAGCGAGGCGGTCACCGGTCCCGGCTGCAAGTTGGGGTCGGTCTTCTTGGCGAAGAAGAAGAAGAAGAAAGGGAAGGACTCAAGACGAAGAGGAATTTCGCTTCCGATCCGCTGGGGGGGCTCTCGATTGTTCCCGAGAAGACGGGCTGGGTCGATTCTGCCTGCGGGTCGGCACGGCCTAGTTGGGCCTCTAATAAGCCCATGACGGGCTTCGCTTGGGCCAGAAAGGAACTCACCTGGATTCTGTTCACTGGGCCGTAGGATACGTAACTACAGTGTCTCATATAGGGTTTATAAAAAAAAATGAAAAACCTTTTCCGATCGCCTATTCCCGCGCGCCGCCGCAGGCGCCTCAGCGTGGCGCCTGGCGCCTCAATCCTCATCGGTCAGCGATCATCAAAAAAGGGGAAAAAAAAAGGTCATCGGTCATCCTAACCCTGTTGACTTGCCATGTAGGAGGTGTGCTGCTGCCGCCAGGTATAATAATTGTATAAATGTATAATACACGTCCAGGTCCAGCAAGGAGAGGAGAGGCAGGGGACCGGCAAAAGGGAGAGGAAGGACAAGTTCTCAGAGTCTGCCGCTTCCTGTTTCAATCTGGGGTACAAGAGCTAAAATCCTTGCTTGGATTAGTAGAATTCGGTTCTTGCCTAGTTAATCTAATGGGCTGAAGAGGTGGTAGATTTCTGATTAGAACAAGGGAACTTGAGTTGATTTGAACAAGGGAACATCGAACATATATGTTTTAAGACAGTGACCTCCTTGTTATCTGAATACGTAGAATGGTAATGCCATCTCATCTCATTATTTTGAACAATTTGATTAAGATCCAGATTAAAAAATGTTTTTTTTTTTTTTTTCTCGAATACACAAAAGATTTGCGTATCATTGTAATTAAGAAGAAGTAGAGTTTAACCATACACACGACGCGCTTCTAATGAGCGTCCTAGGAGATCTTACAGTTTGACTGAACCTTCCTAGCAGACTGTTTTGAACTTCGATATTACATAAAAGCAAACAACCGAACTACGAGCAACGCAGTAACCAACAGAGCTTTGGGTCTCCGCTAATGGCCGCGCGACTCAGCTCCGTCATCCGAGAAGAGCCTTGTACCAATCGTAGCAGCGGTCGCCGGAAACAGCTCGTCCAGTGCTTCCACTTCGCTCGACGTCCAGTTCCTTGCAAAAAAGTCGTCGTAAACTCTCTTGGATGCGGATGAGATTGGACCTGCCGGCGGTGCAAAGCCCATCCTCCGCATGAGGAGCACCTCGCCCACTTGGAGATCGGAATGTGCGCCAGCGGCTGAGCGGCAGCTCCGCTTTGGCATGGGTTGTCATATGGTTGGCACCTTCTGCCTGGGTGGGCTGGCGATTAGAGGCGGCATTCGCTCGAGCTGCACCTCCTCAGTGAACCGTGCGAGACGTCGGGCAGCTTCGCGTGGTGTGGGCGTCGCGTCGCTGGGGGTGGCGCCACCCTCTTCGACGTCGGGTGCTCCCGCTCGTGGTGGCGTGAGTTGTGGCGGCCCCTGCACTGGCGACATCAGAGACAAGTCTGTCGTCCACTGAACAGCCGTCGTCGGGGAACAGGTGCCCGCCACTGGTGCCTCAACCTCCTGAGGGGCTGTCGTAGTAGGCAGACACTCAGGTGTTGCTGCTCTCATTGGCCGTCTCACGATGAGCGAGGCGGCGAGTTCCTCCAGCATCGGGTCGAAAGAGATGACCAATGCGGGGTGCTCCGCACTCACGCACAGCGCCAGTGCCACCGGATTTGGCTCGGGGGAGCTTAGTGCAGCAGTAGCAGCAGGTGCCCTGTCAGCGTGGTCGGTAGGCACACCCGTGGCAATCTCCTTCGGCTTAGTCTTGCGTCGCCGATGTTGTCGTCGTCTCCCACTGGCGCCCCCACGGCCCCCGGTGTGGCACCCTTCGCACCACGCGCGCGGCGCGTGCTGGGAGGACGTAGGGCCGACGCGAGCAGAGTACCGTGGCAGGTCGGCACCCACCGCCACTGAGGTCGAAGCATTCCTTGGCCTGTAGTCCTTGACGAGGTGCTCGAATCCGCGACAGCGCAGGCAACGTCATGGCAACCGACAAGTCGCTACTCGGTGCGAGTAGGAGAGGCAGTTGAAGCATCTACCGTGAAGATCTGTCGGGATCTTCTTGACCTACGAAAGTTGCCCTTGGTTGGGGCGAGGCTCCGTCGAGGCAGCAGCAGCTCCTGTGACCTGCCGGGGGAGGATCTCACGCCACCCATCGGTGTTGGGGGCGGAGACCAGTCCACGACGGCCGAGGCGTTGGCGGGCAGGGACACGACCATCCACAAGCCGCACAGGTTCACTGACGAGGTGCTCGAATCCGTGACTGCTGCGAGTGTGGTCGGCTGCGCTTCCTCCGCCTACGGCCATGTCCCTGTCGCCCCCATTCAGCACCAGTACAGCCGTGCGGAGGCTGAACGAGTCTGGCGACGCTCAGGTGACGCTGAGGTTGGCTTCGCCGGGCGACGAGCGGCCTCCAGGTATGTCGCGGGGTGGTCGTCATCGGTCTCCTCGTCGTCGTCGTCCGCCCAACGCCGGCTCTTTGAACGCCCTCCTGAGGAGCATCCGGGGAAGAACGGTGCCGCGGCCGGCGAGAAGGAGGAGCTTGAGGCATCCAGCGACGCCGTGACGATACTCCAGGGCCCGGCCGTGGCCGCGGCAGTGCTCGCATCAAGGCCCAGCGGCAAAGGGGATGGAGCGCTAGAGCTGGCTACCTCGGCCGTCAGCGGCGCGGCCGTGGTGGCGCCCGTGGCGGCGCCCTCATCCCCGGGAGGCGTTCGCGTAGGCTCCCGCTGCTGTGGTGGCGCGACCGTGGTAGCGCCCGTGGTGGCGTCCTCATCCCCGGGCGTCGTTCGCGCGGGCCCCGTGGGAGGAGGCGGCGGTGGAGCGGCCGAGGCAGCGGCGGTCGCGGCGGCTGCCCCCGCGTCGGTTTCCGCGGTGGCGCAGCTGGCCGCGGAGGGGACGCTAGGTCCGTGGATCCCGCATGGGCAGGCTCGACGCCGGCGGTGGCTGCTGCAGTTGTGCCCGACATCATCGTCGGCGTGGAAGTAGCGGCGGCGTAGCCCGACCTCGATGCCGGTAGCGTGGAGGGCCGCGGAGGTGCCGAAGCGCCGGATCCAGTGGGGATGGCCTCGGGACCGCCGCCGGCTGTGGCGGCCGTAGCATCCGACACCAGCGTCCGCGCGGGCGCCCACTGATCCCGCGGAGGCGCTAGAAGGCCAGATCCCGCGACCACAGTGGTGGGGAGGGTAGGGGAGGTGGAGGGGTAGGAGGAAGGGGAGGGGGAGGGGAGGGCGGGGGGCACCGGCGCCTGGGAGGCGGCCGGCGCTGCTGGCGGTGGCGGGTGGGAGGCCGTCAGGTCTTGAAACCAAGAAGGTCACGGGGGTTCCATGACCTGGACCACTACCAAAAAAAAGCCTTTAAGAAGAGCATATATATGTCATATAAAAGGGGCACAAGAGTAGAATGAAAAGACAGGAATCGATCAAATGTAATTTCCTACTAAACAAAATCAATCCATCCTGAACAGCAAAATCGGCCTGGTCGACGACTAATTACGATTAGTCTCCTGGTCGGTCCCATGACGACCAGGTTCGACTAGACGACCTGAAAACATTGTTCAGGACAGATATCAGGTTAATCTCATGCAACAGTGCCTGTGATTTGTCTTCGCTTCGGCGGCCGTGGACAGTGTCCCTGTAGAGCACTAGGGCCTTCTTAGTCCCAAGGTTTAGCTGGACGAGCCCAGTCCTCTGCATCCAAAAGAGCACGGTGCCACTCCTCTCCCCAAACCTACTGAACAGGATTGGCTGGTATGCGTCTAGAACACAGGCGAGCGGCCTGCCAATCTCCAGCCTCCGAATCACCACCTGCCGACTCCAGCTGATGCTTGAGCCCTCGTCCACCTGCGGCACAGGTGTCCACATTGATATCACAAGTGCCTCCGCAACAACTAAGCTTAGCTGCCTTTCCCCTCGCGCTGTGGCAGCAGTGGTAGCCAGGATGAATCTCTCCACAGGTTTTGACCCGCGGCCATGGCTCCCCATCCTTGTAAGCAACTCTTGCGGCAGCTTGATCACAGTGGCCTGTGCTGATTCGGCGTGGAGGGCAAGGATGATCAATTCAGGGTCGTCAAACGAGTGGTGGTTGGCTCTGGTGTAGCAGTACCGGTGAACACTGCGCCCCACCACGACAGCCGGGGCAGTAGACGATGTCTCATAAAGGTGCTGAACACCTGGAGACAGGTTGTGGATGTGGATATCACGGGCGGCACCCCACTCGCCTTCCCGTGACGAGAAGATCTGGGTTCTCAGGCTGCCGGCAGCACTCCGTCCCCACGGGACATGCTTGTGGTACATGACAAGCAGCTCGAAGGAGCGTCCGGCACCGTGGACGGAGAGCAAGGGCGGGCTTGTTCATGCCTGCGGTACTGGTACCTCGCTGCCCCATGCTAGGAAGAGAGGTCACATGGCCGGTGATAGTGTCGCAGATGAGTAGTATCCCGTGGCGAAGAAAAACGAGGAGACCGTCGCGGGAGGACGGAGGCTCCGACGACCCCGCAAGCAGATCAGTGTCGAAATGACGGAGGCGCCCGGGTGGCTGGACGACGATGGAGTCGGTGCCGGTGACCGTTCCTTCATCGCTATCGATGGGGCAGGCAGTCGGACGGTAGGACACCGCCATAAGAAGGCCCGGGTCGAATCTGCCGTTGGCATCCGCGCGACGGCGATGGAAGCCTGGATCGAGCATGGCGGCGAGCAGGGCCTTGCATCCCACGGCGCAGCGGACGACGGTCGTGACATCGTCGGAGCGCGTGATGATCTCGAGC